CTTAAGGAGGCTCTGCGGAGGAGAGAGACATCATCACGTGCTATATATACAAATGCTTTTTTTAATCAAACAATTTGAAGTTGAGGTACTGATATTATACAAAATTTTCTATGTAATTTTCTATGTAATTTTCTATGTATTTTCTATGTTTCTATTTGCACTCTGCATGTCTTTTACTGCAAAAATCTTTCATGTGTCATATGAATTCTGGAATGCTTATATGCTTAAAGAATTATCAAAAGCTGAAAAGATATGCATGTTTTTTAAGAATTATATTTTGCTTTTTGCTACCTTATGTTTTAAGTTAAAGATTTCACGAAAAAGATGTGGGTTCAAGGTGTTTATTTTCTATTTAACAAATATATAATATTTTCTGTGTTGATATATTGGGAAAACGTGAAATGTGGAAACGCGACACCCGGAGGACGGAGTGTTTTCACTCAATTTCAAGAAAGTGTGCCAAACCACCCTAATTAAGCTCTTTGTATGTTTGGGATGTTCTTCCATTCGGTCTCTGCTCTATCGCTCGATATATAAAGGGTTAATTAGTTGTTTCCGATGAATAAAGAATTTTATAGAAACTTACTAGTTGCTAAACTCAATCAATTTAAATGGTTCGCAAATTGTTTAGGGCGTATAACTGCAAGTCACTCTGGGTCAGGTCTGCTGAGAAGTTGGAGTTGGAATTCCTCGAATTTTCATTTGGACGATGTTTTGGATTCGTCGTATACAGATGCAGATCACGTTCCATTGTATTCGTTAGATAGCTTTTCTTCAGATCAAGTTGATGTATGTGATTTGTGTATTAGTACTTTTAAAGATAGTCAAATTTCTTACCATGAAATTCGAATATAGTAGAAAATGTATTTTTTTATATATATTGGTTTTTTACCCATATAACAGCCTGTTTCATGGTGGATGACAAATTTCGAAAAATTGGCTGCTTAAATGTTTACGGTCGGAAACGTGCATGGGCGTCAAACAATAAATGCATTCCTTCCATTGTTATCGTTGTTTACTAGGAATTTCTTTTTATGATCGAAACTATTTTCTTTTCAGGTCGAAACTATTTCCTATTTTTTGTTAAGTGAAAATTGTTTATTTTTTCCTTCATAATACATAGATTTTCCTCTAAACACCAATTACATCTTTTTTATCCTCCCGTGTAAGAAACAACGCGTTTTAGTATTGACAAAGTTATGCCGGAATCTTGTTTGTTTTCTTTTGATTTCCAAATATATTTCGAAAGTTCTGTATCACTTGGGTGTTTTTTGTGATTGAAAGACCTAATTTGGTTCCGGCGTCGCTGTTTAAATGTGGTTGCTGTCAATGTAGTGCTTCATGCCTATTGTGATAGTATAAAAGGCAACTGTCACAACACGTAACACAAACAGCGTAATTAAAGCATAACATTGGCATGACAGCAACAGATGAGATAATTTTCCCAATGTTTGTTTTAACCGCACAGGAAGCAAGAGATGTGTGCACGGCAAACGGCTTGGAGACCACGCTGCTGAATAACTGTGTTTTCGATATTTTGGCGACAAACGACACTTCATTCGCAGACCAACAATCCTTAAAAATTGGTAAACAAATCTAATTATTAGTATTTATCATTAGATTAGTATTTAAATCTTAAACAAGGCACGGGGAACAAATAATGTGCGTGCATTATTTCCAGTGCGAATTCACAATTATAATCTTGAGGCTGGTATGTAAGCTGCATTGTTTCATACTCGTATTTTTGGATTATATATTTTTACAAGATAACTTCTTCATTTTGTTTCCAAATTACCCTGGTCGCGCATCTTCCTTTAATTTATGATAACTTTTGTAGGTTGCCCCAATGACTGTACAGGGAAAGGTCTTTGCAAGAATGAAACGTGCACATGTCTTGATGGTTGGTCTGGTGATGATTGTTCTATTGGTAGTTGCGGGAACTGCTCACGTGGCTCCTGTGTTGAAGGCTTCTGTCAGTGTGATATTGGATGGGAAGGTGCTGAATGTGATAAGAAAGCGACATGTTTTGTTGTCGATAACTGTACGTCAGAAGTTCATGGATCGTGCAAAACAACGGATGTGTGTGAATGCAATGTAGGCTATACAGGTAATAAAAACTAACTCACGATTTTCCATTGTTTATTTTTACAAGGTTTATTTTTGCGACAATTTCAATTTGGGACAAACTTAACCTGCGATCAGGCTCTATTTTACAAATAATAGCCTGACACAATCCTTGATCCGATCGCTTTCCATCCACAGCAAAGTTTATATTTAGTATCCAATCAAAATGTCGCAGGAGAAATTTAAATTTCACACAACGACAACAACAATCTAATTATAGTTGTGATCACTATAGATATATCAACGACAATATATAATGTAATAAGCACCAACCAATCAAATGACAGATTAAAAAATTATTTGTCTCATAAACCAATCAGATTACAACCGAAATACGGTTGTAAAAACATGGACTTTTGTTGAGATTTGTATCAGGCCTATATTTATTTATTTATAGGCCTGATCGCAGTCGACATCCATGCAAGTCGACATCCGCACATTGGGACAAATCACAGTTTATAGACTAAGACAATAAATGTAGTATAAACAAAATGGCGGCTGGTCACTAGCCTACTTATTGAGCTCCGTTGTCCTGCCGGTTTTCATGCGATTCATAATGAATCCATATCTAGCAAACAACGTTAATAGTCAAACTGAGGATGTTTTCTACTAATTTTGGAAAATATGTAAGCCAACTTTTACCGACAGCCTGCAAACCCAAGCCCATATCAACAAGTGTTCAACAGCCTATAAGGCAGAATGATATCAAATGTATTGTTACGAATGCGAGAAGTTTGAAAAGTTTTAATAGGATTCAAGACCAGGACGGGCAGAGTAAACAAGTCTATAATCTACATCGCCTTCAAAACCTCGTCTACACTGAGGACTCTGACATCGTCTGTGTATAAACGAGACATGGCTTAACAACAGTATTAACAACTCTGAAATCCTGCACAATGGATATATTATTTACAGAATGGACAAAGTGACAAACTAGAGCAGAGAGCTGGGGAAGTATTGATTGCAATTAAAAGCATTCAAATGTGTATGTGAACTTCCGCTTCCTGATGACCTAAAGGAACTTGAGGTTGTTTCATCGACATCGTTGGTTACTACGTCCACCGATCAGAAAATCCTGTTTTGTTCTTGCTATATAGCTGAAGTTATAGCCAGAGCAAAAGAAAAGATTGGGGCACATTGCAGTTAAATTAGTTCATATATAGTCATATTTGACATCATAATTGTGCACATTGAATATTTTTACCACATCCAAAACAGCAGCATGTTGAATATTATGCTAAATCAGGCTGCACTGTGCAATATTCTTAATCATGTTGCATTTCATGAAACAATTGTAAGGATTGTTCTAACTATTGGTTTTTGAGTTAAGCTTTCGAATAATTCTGTCTTGTTCTATAATATTATATACAAGTAAAAAATGATATACACAAAAACTTTTGTATTGTTTCATGACTTTCATGCATGACTCAAAATAATAACATACGTTCTGATGCGAGATCCATCAGTTGGAAGAGCATACGAGATCCATCAGTTGGAAGAGCATTGGGCTAGTATTCCAAAGGTCGTAGGTTCGAATCCCACCGTGGCCGGGCATATTTTTCAAGCTCGCCCGGTGTGGATATGCACTCGAGTAACATCACAATCATATTATTCACCTGAGTACACAACACCAGCACAGAAAAAAAAAATTCAAAATGCACTTGTTAGCATTTACAAATTACACTTGCTTTAATTGTTCACCGAATTTGTCGTCTAGTTATACGCTCTCGATCAAATGCTTGTCCAGATTCATATCCAGATTCAAGGCGTGTTCCATGATATTAATATTATACGAGGACATAGCCTCCTCCGCAGGCATCTCACCCGACGAATCGGGTGGTGGGAAAATATTATACGAGAATAAAGTACTGAGCTGTATTAGTGACACAAATTTTTGCATAGTACCTTAATAATGAACGGAATGAACTTCGTTTTTTTCCTATTAATTTTCGTATTTTATAAATCTCGTTATAAATACAACAAAAAGCTACTTTGATAAGCCACAACGCCCGCTCGATTTACTATAATAGTATAGGTGTTCATGCAGTTCCGGGGTTCATTGCTTCCGGGGAGCAGTTGAAAGTCTGCCCGAATTTTTATGCAGGGTTGTAATGAAATAACCTGGGGCCGGTTGTTCGGTCGTTTATGAAATGTGTGAATCTGTTATTTAATTTTGACTTATCCACCGTTTAAGCTAAATGGGCTTCGAACAACCGCGGCGCCAGAATTTAGTGTATCTTCTGTTAAATCTACCCGAATTTTATGGAATGTTCCTAGCATTTGCCTGAATTTCCATGGTTTTCTAGGGGGGGGCAACTGCCCCTCTACCTGGTACGCCGATATAATAGCAAAGTGATCACAGTCCGTCTGTTATACACGTCGTCGGTACATTATCTCCACTGTAATAACCTTTTCTTAAACAGTCCTTTTCTTTTTCAGGTTTGAATTGTAGTATTATAACAAACTGCAATAATGTTCTTAATTGTTCGTCAAATGGAGATTGTGTCGATATGGATGTGTGTAAATGTCACACTGGATATAGTGGATCTGCATGTAACGAGACCTCGTGCGAATCTCTCGGATATTGTTCAGGTATACCTTTAATTTATTTTCAAAATTTGTTTTAGATACTGAATTGAAAACTACAAACTTATCATGGTAATTACTATGTATACTTATGTATTGTATACTATAGTCTCATGATAGTTAAAGATGTTACCATGTTTTAAATAATAGAATAATATTTGCAAATACATTTTAAAAATATAGAAAAATATAGAATTCTCAAATAAATTTTAGTAATTGCCATATAACGATTAGCTTTATAAAACCAATAAAACTACCTAACCAATCTCACATGCACAACGAACGTTAGCAATATACGCGTACAACATATTCACGAACAATTACGCGGATTTCATAAATCATGACATATTTTGGGTATAATAGTGGTTTTTCAGAATTAAACGTTACTCGCGGCTATTATGATCAACATCGTATATGGGTCGAGCGGAACTTTTTGTTGGCGGACATTTCGCGAAACAGTATTTGGTGAGAATTGATAACATAAAGTTTTAAAGGACGCTTAACTAAGATTTCAGGCAACAAAAGGTGGTCTTGTTGCTTGAAATCTTAATAGTTAAGCTTTCTCAGGGCCGTATAACGAAGAGCCAGCCCATTTTCCACTATACTAGGCGAATTTGTTCGTGCGAAGCGAAAAACAAATCTTGCCTGGGCCACCGAGAGGGGGGGCAGGGG